CAGCAGGAGAGGAAGCATAGGTCAGCCAGTTGCACTGACCAGGTTACCAGAACTAGCTGAGACGCAACTATAGGTGAGCTAGAAGCCTGGTAGGCACATTGAGCTTAGAAAACATTGTATTCTTAAAAGTTGTTGCAGGCTGGGTGTGGTGGCTCACGCCTGTAATCCTAGCGCTCTGGGAGGCTGAGGCGGGTGGATCGCTTGAGGTCAGGAGTTCGAAACCAGCCTGAGCAAGAGCGAGACCCCGTCTCTACTATAAATAGAAAGAAATTAATTGGCCAACTAATATATGTAGAAAAACTTAGCCGGGCATAGTGGCACATGCCTGTAGTCCCAGCTACTTGGGAGGCTGAGGCAGGAGGATTGCTTGAGCCCAGGAGATTGAGGTTGCTGTGAGCTAGGCTGATGCCAGGGCACTCACTCTAGCCTGGGCAACAAAGTGAGACTCTGTCTCAAAAAAGAAAAAAAAAAAGTTGCTGCAACCCTGTTTTGTGCAGCCTGGGTCTTAGTAGATTGGGCCCTCTTGGATGATTTCTAGTAAGATCATTTTCGGAGCCTTAGGTAGAAAACCTGCTGTACCTTTCAGATGGTGCCTTGGGATATACACGCAGGACAAGCCGACACGTGGGCTTTACAATGTAGTATCTTCTTTTTTACACGTACTGTTCAATTTCTTTTTTTTCCATGTACAGAAAATGAAGAATTTATTATGAAGTTTATAGGCCCAAGAAGTTCCCTCTATTTTTCTCTTAATAAGGAAAGATCTTGGCATTGAGAAAGGCCAATAGGATTATAAAAGATCTTGTCTTAATGTCGAAGCGCTGAAAGGGTTTGGCAACTTCCACATCCAGTAAAATGTGTCTTCTGGAGTTATATTGTTCACAGAGCTGCTTAGGTTTTTGCCTACCCTCCACTCTGCAGTCAGTCTTTTTGGCTTGAGTTCTGACGCCTGGTACTTCCCTGCATGACCTGTTCTGGGAATACACTCCCTTGCTGTAATGGAAATTTAATTTTAGCATTTTCATCAGCCTGAGCACTACAGAAAAATCCAACCAGCACTTCTGGGACCTTTACGGTGTTCGTGTGTTGAATGGAGTCTCATTTAACCACTGAATGCTTATAACTTCTTTATACACTCAGACCTATTGTTTATGAACATAAACCTATTGTTTATGAACAGCCCTCAGATGGCTGGAGAGCTGAGTAAATCTCAATAGATCTACTTCCTTGTTTTGTGCATAGTTTTTCTTTTTTTGGGGGGGGATTTCTATTCTAACATGTGCACACTAAATACTGGATAATGTTTTGGTAATATGCTTAAGCTAATATTGGAATTTTATTCTGTCTAGATAAGACTTAGGACATATATAACCATTTGCATGTTGCTATGCTAACTTACACTGTGTAATACCTTAGGGATGTAACTAATAGTTTAAGCCAACCACAGCTCACTGCAACTTCAAATTCCTGCATTCAAATGATCCTCCTGCCTCAGTCTCCCGAGCAGCTGGGAATACAGGCATGCCATAATGCCCAGTTTATTTTTCTATTTTTAGTAGAGACTGGGATCTTGCTCTTCCTGAGGCTGGTCTAGAACTCCTGAGCTCAAACGATCTGCCAGCCTCGGGCTCCCAGGCGTGAGCCACCACACCCGGCCTGTACTTTGCTTTTCCTACACAGAACAAAGTTCTCATTTTCAGCTTTACCAGTGTTCTTTTGAAGTGTAACATTACAATCAAATTTGTACTCTATGGAGTGATAGTTAGGAATGTTAAAGACTTAAAGGCTGTTTACAATTTTTAGAGTAGTAGATGACTTAAGTGTTGCTTTCTCTTCCTCAAACATGTTCACATGTTTATTTCTGTTGTCCGTGGGTTCTAGAATACCCCTGGCACAGCCATTCATCTAAGGTTGTTTATTTTCCTCTCATGCAAAAATGCACGTACGGTTTTGTGTGAGTTTGCTAGGGCTGCTCTGAGAAAGTACTGTAAACGTGATGGCTTAAAACAGCAGTGGTTCAATCTCTCTGGAGGCTAAAAGTCTGAAGTCAGGGTGTCAGCAGGGGCTTGCACCTTCCAAAACCTGCAAGGGGGATCCTTCCTCACCTCTTCTAGCTCCTGGGGGTTGCTGGCAGTCCTTGGCATCCTTGGCCTGCAGCTGTATCCCTCCAGTCTCTCTCCATCCTCACTTGTTGATTTCTGCCTGGGTTTCTATCTCGGTCTCTCTTCTCTTCTTACAAGGACACCAGTCATGTTGGATTTAGGACCCACCATAATGCACTGTGGCCTCATCTTAAATTATATCTGCAATGGTCCTACTTCCAACTAAAGTCATATTTTAAGGTGCTAGGTTTAGGAATTTACCTTTTTGGGGGGGGGTTGTCTTGGTCTGTTTGTACCACTATATAACAAAACACTGCAGAAAGGTATTTCTCACTGTTCTGGAGGCTGGAACATCCAAGGTCAAGGTGCCGGCAAGTTTGGTTGTCTGGTGAGGGCTGCTCTCTGCTTCCTCGATGGCGCCTGTGGCTTTGTCCTTTGGAGGGAGGAAGGGTGTGTCTGCACATGGCGGAAGGTGGAGGGCTGGAGAGCTGAATGCTGCATGGAGCCTCTTTTAGAAGGTCCTTAATGGCCTTATCACGCTTCCTTTTAAAATCATCACATTGGCCATTAAATTTCAGCACCTGCAGTTTGGAGGGGACACATTCAAAACATAGCATGGGCAGGGGGAGACACAGTTCACCCCATTACAAGTCCCATGATTGGTGTGATGCCCCTTAGCATTTTACATCCAGACTCTTTTTTCCTTTGCATTCTGCTGAGCATGGTCGTTACCAGGACGGCAGCTTCTAAGGCCTGCGCAGCGGGGTGGGAGAAGGTTCCTGGGTGTCCTCACTTTCCATCCCCCTCAACTTGAGTCACGTGGCTGCACGGGAGTCTGGGAAATGTGGTCCTCAATCCAGGCCGCCAAGTACCAGCTAGAAATTTGGGGGGCAGAAGGAGGTTGTTAACCACAGAAGATTGAGAGCAGATTTTGAGGACAGCCAATGTTGTTTCTTCCACATGATCAAAATTTTGGGGGGTGGGTGTAATGTGGGTTGATGATTCATGAATTTCTGAGCCCATGTAGCTCTTCTCATTGCATTATGTCTAACATTTGAGGAGCAATAGGGAGTTTTCCCATATATTATTAGCTTAGATGTGTAATGGTTAGCAGGGCTTTGCCTCATACAGTTAAATTACATCAAATAGCTGCTATCTAGTGTGGAAAATAGCAGAAAGGGGAAGATATGGCCATCCCTGCTGTCAAGGACGGGGCATTTGCTGTCTACAGATAAGTGACTGTGAAAAGATGCTTATAAAATATATATTTTTTCATCAGTTTAGATTTTTACTTCTCTCATCTGATTTCAATTGCTTATGAAATATATTTTTTTCATCAGTTTAGATGTTACTTCTCTCATCTGGTTTCAATTCAAAACAAATAGGTAGTAAAGTGGAAAAAAGAAGTGACCCAAATAAACCTAATTCACAATTACTCACTGTATTTTTTCTCAGTGGAATCTAGGCCTTAACTGTATTTATTACATGCGCTCAACTATATAAGTTTGTTTTTCTTAGTCACCGTGTATCCCTCCACCCTTTTTTAAAATTTCAGAATATAATGGGGGTACAAATGTTTAGGTTACATATATTGCTTTATTCTGCCTGAGACAGAGCTTCAAGCATGTCCATCCCCCAGATATTGCACAACTCACCCATCCCCTCCTCCCTCAACCTGCCCCACACCAATGAATGTTACTACCATATGTGCATATAAGCGTTGATCATTTAGTACCAGTTTGATGGTGTGTACATGAGATGCTCATAAAATATTTTTTGAGAGATAGAAACTTAAGAAGAGCATTTCTTTTTTAGAACTATAACTTATAAAAACTCTTTCTTCTTTTTTCTTCTCTTTTTTACAATGCCTTTCTCCACATGTTCTAGTAGAACTATAACTTAAGTCAGGGGTCCTCAGACTTTTTAAACAGGGGGCCAGTTCACTGTCCCTTAGACCGCTGGAGGGCCGGACTGTACCTAAAAAAAAACTATGAACAAATTCCTATGCACACTGCACATATCTTATTTGGAAGTAAAAAAACAAATGGGCAAAACCAACCGCATGTGGCCCTCGGGCTGTAGTTTGAGGACACCTGACTTAAGTGATAGTTAATAACAAGTCTGATACATTGATTTGACACGTCCTTGGGAGGAGAAAGGCCAGAGGACATAGAAACAGCTAGAGCTAGGGCTGTCCTCCTGAGCCTCTGCCATTGGCCTCGTGTTCCCTGCCTGCTATTTTGGGCCAGCCCGATTCTAGAAGGCCTTGGAATGGCTTTCCTCCTCGTGTTCCTAGCATTGAGCATGGTGGTTGGCACATGGCGAGGATTCAGTGACTATTTATTGGGTCATTTCCTACCAACTCCATGTTTACTGTTAGTAACACTAAAGTAAAACAATACAAATGTCCAGGTTCTAAATGTGTTCAACTTTGGAGCAATATATTCTCTTTAGGAAGGAAACAGTACGCTTGTTGAAAAATATTACAGATAGTTGCCTCATGGCTGTGAACTCTTCACAAATTTATTTATTTATTAAATATATAGCATTTCCCTGATTTGAACCAATACTTTAAACACAGTTGGTCCGGACAGTTTGGCTCATGTGTCTAATCCCAGCATTCTGGGAGGCCAAGCTAGGTTCATTTGAGTCCAGGAGTTCAATGTTGCAGTAAGCTATGATTGTGCCACTGTATTGCAGCTTGGGTAACAGAACGAGACCCTGTCCCTTCCCTCCCCCCCCAAAAAAAAAACCCAAACAAAATTACAGTTGATAAAATGGTCTCTAGGCCACATAAAGTTTTATATAGCAAATTCCATGGAAATAATGATTTTTGTTTATACGGTTGTGTTTGCAATTTAAACAATCTGTGTTTTTCTTTCTTTCTTTCTTTTTTAGGACTTTCTGTTACTTGATGAGATATCACAGCGCAACCCTCAGCTGCTGTCAGATGGTAAAAGGATAGTGCACGTAGAAGATTATACTGCTTTTTGGGATAAGGTAACATATCCACCTTTACAAGATCATTACTGCTGAAAGAAAATGGGTGACATTGATATAATAGAGAATTTTTAGATTTTACGAATAACATGAAATGTAACTTTCTCATTCGATGAAAGTCGTGTTATAAAAATTCTCAACATCAGGAGTAAGGTTTGCAATGAATAGAAATTGGGTATAAAACCAGATGATGGTGTTTGACAGGTGCTTTATGTCATTTAAAAAGAAATTTCCGAGGGAGGAGGGGGGCATGGGCAATATATGTAACCTTAACATTTATACCCCCATAACACGCTAAAATAAAAAATAAATAACTAAATAAAAATTTCAAACGTTTACCTCGTTTTGAGCTAAATGGAGGTTTAGATGTTTGTAATGTTGGATGGGGCAGGACAGACTAGGGTTGCAGCATGGAATGGGTTAACTAACATACATTATAAATTAGTACAGAGACTTTGGGGTGTCAGTGTGCATTTTTACCTTAATGTTTTTAGATCATCTTAGTCTATAATGAGAAAAGCCCGTGATTTGGAACTCTGCCATGGCGTTGGGGTGGGGGCTCCCCCATTCCAAGCGTCTGGGTGGCGCCGGCCGCTTTGGCGGCGGCCCAGGCATGGAGGCGGCCGGCCAGGGCAGTAAGCTCCGTGGGTTCCTGATGGAAGGGCTTCACGGGTTGCAAGCCGACAGGCAGAACTGGCAAGACCACAAGGATTTTCCGACACTTGGTTTTACTCGTGACATTCAGGCAGTCAGGAAAAGTAGCAGGCATCACCCTGGAGACCTGCGCAGCCTTGCAGACTCAATGCCTCCTTATGCACATGACTCCAATGCCGTCCTCTCCGAATCTGTGGTGCTGTGCAAATCCTCCCGCCTCGGCCTCGCTTAGTCTGGAAGAGCAAACACACGGCACAGGAGAGGGAATTTCGTGCAAGCAGTTCTTCATGTAGAAGTTGAAAGAAAGGGCACAAAGGCAAGGGGTGGGGGTGGGGGCACCCTGACCTTGGCCATGGCAGGTGTGAGGTGCTGTCTCCCAGGGGGCCTGCCGGGAGCAGAACCGAGGGGCCTGGCTGCCAGGAGCAGTTGGGACTACAGAGTGAGAGAGGCTGTTCTGAAGGCGCTGGGACAGCTTAGACTGCTTGACCCAGGTGGGCGGTGCTAGTGGGACCAGTGTCTCCCCTTTGCAGGTGCTGGCTGTGGCCGACCTCAAGTTGAAGTGCAGTTTTCAGGAGCGGGGAGGCTTTAGGCTGTCGAGCAGCTCTCCCTCCTGGCCCCATCTGCTGCTCCCTTCTCCTGTGCTGCAAATGTTGGATCTCTCTAGACTCTTCCTTTCCTTCCATGCCTGTCGCTCTAAGTGCTGTGCTATGTGTACGGTGCTCACCCAGTTCTGATGCAATGCTTGCCATCTCTACCAACCAAACCAGTAACGTGTTCCCACATATATAAAACCACATCATTGCACGTGGAAACTCCCACAAGGTGTGCGTTACCTGCCCTGGCAGTTTCTCCCTATCTCCTTGGCATGTGACACCCTCGTGCACTTGAAGCACTGATAGAAAGCAACGCTAGCATTCCATGGTCAAAAACACACTCTAGGTGAATGCTGTCCAGTTAAGGGAAGCACTGAGGTAGCGAACACACGCTTTGTGTAGGACTCATTGCCAAGTTTCTTAGGTAGCAAACTCTGCAACATTGTAAAATGGGCTGTTAGTTCTTAGACTTCTTTTACACCTTGCATTATAATACATCCCCGGCCGTGTGTGTGTGTGTGTGTGTGTGTGTGCGCGCGCGTGTGTGTGTGTGTGTGTGTGTGTGTGTGTGTGTGTGTGTGTGTTTTATGCCCACACTGGGGGATCACAAGGTCAAGTCTGGTGAGGTCATGGTCGGGGGGGAGAGGGTGCATGCGTGGGCAGAGGGGCTGCGACATTCGGGGTTTTAGAGACAGAACCAGGAGCTAGGAGAAGGACACGACGCCAGCAGCAGCCTGCTGGACAGTCAGGCAGGTATTTGAAGGCAGGTCTTCTCACCAACCTGGGTCTCATTCATAAAAGGAATGGACTTGGGCTCAGTCTCTAAGTTGTAACGTTTGTGACCTTGTGGGAGCTTCTACATCTCCATGGGAGCCGGGATTTTCATCTGCTTTGTTTGTTGCTGTATCCCCAACTCTTATGATGGTGTCGGGGCCAGATGGGGGCTCAGTCAAGGCTTGTTGCATCAGTGTTGGGGGGGCCTGGGAGGGAAGGGGCTGAACCTCCCGAGGGTCCGAATGCTGCCCCCTTCTGGTTACAGTAGAGCACTGCAGGGTCTGTAGCCTCCCGAAGTGGCAGGGACTTCCCCGCCAGGAACTGCAGGCTGTGATGGCAAGGTGGATTTGTAGCAGCTCACCCTCTCGCAGTCAAAACTGGGTAAAAAGTGTTACAGTCTGAAATACCTGTTTGGCAGGTAGGAAGGAGTAGAGAAACTTAGTTTGTCACCTATTAAAATTCAGCATCTGGCAGGGTGCGGTGGCTCACGCCTGTAATCCAGGCACTCTGGGAGGTGGAGGCAGGAGAATTGTTTGGAGTCAGGAGTTCGAGACCAGCCCGAGCAAGAGCAAGACCCTGTCTCTACTAAAAACAGAAAAATTAGCCGGGTGTGGTGGCGTGTGCCTGTAGTCCCAGCCACTCAGGAGGCCGAGGCAGGAGGATCGCTTGAGCCCAGGAGTTTGAGGTTGCTGTGAACTAGGCTGACACTGTGGCACTCTACTCAAGGCAATGGAGTGAAACTCTGTCTCAAAAAATAAAAAAAATCAGCTGCTTTTGTGTAGTTTTTATAATTCTTATAAAATCTGAGGCTAGTTTATTTGCGATTGAAAGCAACTGTGATTGTTTTGTTATGTGACCATTTCCTAGTGTGATATGGGACACATTTATAAGTTTGTCAGTATATATATACATATGCACATTTTGATATGTGACCATTTGTGAAAATAATTGTGATTTAGTATGTGGCCATTCAGTTATTTCCAGAGAAATTTTTCATTTGGAAGGTTGTGTAGGCCTTTCTTTCTACCTCTGTGCTTTGAGTCTTTGGGGCATATTACTATTCACTTGTGCCCACTCCAGATGTGGAGAGAGTTTTGAGTGCATGTCCTAAAGGTTAAAGGTCTACCTGGACTGGGTCAGCTCAGCTTCCTGAGATTGTCAGTGGGTGGCTGCACCCTGCTTCCTCCTTCCAAGGGTGTCCTTCCCAGCAATGTCCTGCCCTTGAGGGACTCCAGATTCAGAATCCTTTTCCTAGAGTTCAGGAGGCTGCATTGCCTTTGACTTACTCGTGATCATTTTTCTGTGATATTGAAGAGCATTTCCTAAAGCGTGTTGTGCAGAACACTAGGCCCCTCAAGAGGGTCCTTTAAAAATGAGTTTGGGGCTCAAATAAATTTGCTACTTCTCCAGCCACCAGGAATGCATGGTGAAGACTCTCAGATCCACACCGAGGGAAATTCACATGGAGATCATAATATGGGAGGAAAGAATGAATCCTCCAATAGCAGTTCTGTTTATTTAGTTTAATTAATTAATTAATTTTTTGAGACAGAGTCTCACTCTATTGCCCGGGCTAGAGTGCTGTGGCATCAGCCTAGCTCACAGCAACCTCAAACTCCTAGGCTCAAGCAATTCTCCTGCCTCAGCCTCCTGAGTAGCTGGGACTACAGGCATGCGCCACTATGCCTGGCTAATTTTGTTTTCTATATATCGGCCAATTAATTTCTTTCTGTTTTTAGTAGAGATGTGGTCTCGCTCTTGCTCATGCTGGTCTCAAACTCCTGACCTTGGAGCCATCCACCCGCCGAGGCCTCCCAGAGAGTTAGGATTACAGGTGTGAGGCACTGCTCACGGCCAGCTTTGTTTATTTTTAATAGTTACTACCGGTATCAACTTTTGTCTGATAGTGTTGATATCTGGGTTTGGACTAAAGTTCTTATAGGTGATGATTACTATTAAGGTTTCATGTTCTCAATTTAAAACCATACCCCTTAGTTGTACCTCTCTGACTTTTTGCCTTTTTAAGAAGATACATGATTTAAAGTACTGATTGTCCTTAAATGGAAAGAGGAAACCTTCTGATTTTTGTTTACCATGCTCTGCTGAATTCTTCCCTCTCCACCAACACAATTTAATCCTTTCAATGGATTTTCTAATGCTTGAAAGTTCTATGAAAAAGCAGCGAGTTTCGTTCCATCTCTTTAAGAATCAGTTGAACTATTAAATAACATATTTTTAAACACCAGCAATTACTGAACATTTTCTTGACAGTTAATGTATGCAAACACATCCATATACTGTTAAATCTCTGTATCTTAGAGTTTACAGATTATTCAGGAATGTGATTGCTGGGAGCATAAAGAGTACTTTATCTTCCTGTCCTCCTTGTGTTGAAGTGTCTGCTGTAACGAGTACGTCCTGGTGTTCATAGTGGAAGTTCTGTGCTGTCCCTGTCTACCCAGGGTGGTGTATGTTGCAGGGGTAACACTGAGACTTAAATCACTTTGACTCATGACTTTATACTTAATTTCTTTATTCTCCATTTTTTTTTCTGTTAAACTAGAGCCATGGTTACAGAATTGACCATTATTTGTAGAAGTTCATTTGCCAAGGGTGACATGCCTTCTTCCTTGCTGAGTGCTACTGAGATTTATTCTTTTATCAAGTGGAAATGGGAGAGATGGGTGATTTCAAACAATTTTTTTCAACTCAAGGGCTGGGCATACTGTGTACTTATACTGCCACCTTGTGGAGGTTGATAAAATAGAAGATTAAAACCAAGGGTCATAATGGAAAACCTCTCAAAGTGAATATATACATAATATATATATATTTTGAGACAGAATCTCAGCCTGTTGAGTCTTACTCTGTTGCTGGGGCTAGAGTGCCCAGACATTGGCCTAGCTCACAGCAATGTCAAACTCCAGAGCTTAAATGATCCTTCTGCCTCAGCCTCTCCCAAGTAGCTGGGACTATAGGCTAATTTTTTTCTATATATTTTTAGTTGTCCAGCTAATTTCTTTCTATTTTTAGTAGAGATGGGGTCTTGCTCTTGCTCAGGCTGATCTTGAACTCCTGAGCTCAAACAATCCACCTACCTTGGACTCCCCAGAGTGCTAGGATTACAGGCGTGAGCCACCACGCCCAGTCCCAAAGTGAATATTATATTAACAGTATTGTTTTAGTAAGTTGATGTGAGCCAAGAAGCTTTCATTTCAGGAAGGTCGCCTTGTTGTTTTTACTACCTAAATTCTGTAGATGTCTATAGCTATATTCATGTGGAAATCTGGTAAAAGGGAAAGTGCCTTCCTTAAATACTAAAGTTACCAAACTGCTTCAAACTCGACAAAGGAAGGAATATGATTGGATGAAAAAGTGAAAGATTTGGGTTATGTTCATATACAATGACTATAACATCCATCACTTTTTGAAGTGACTTGTGTTGCTTTATTGATACTGGTACATTTTTGTGAACTTTTATTTGTAGGCGTCAGAAAGCCCCACCCTACGAGGCCTTTCTTTTACTGTCAGACCTGGGGAATTGTTAGCCGTGGTTGGACCCGTGGGAGCAGGAAAGGTAAGTATAATGCCATCTGGCAGCTGGACGCAGCACCACGTCTCACATTCAATCCTTGGGGTTGAGCCCAGTGCTATGTGTAACACAATGTTGGGTTGGGTAAACCTGGAACGGCATTTCTCATTGTGTTCCCTGGAACATTAGTTTTGCAAGAAAGTGAACTGGCCAAGTAAATCTGTGTATCGCGAATTGTATTTTCCCTTCTCATTTCAAGTTGCACAATTGGGAACACCTGGTCTGGAGGTTGGACATCTCAGTGAAGGGAATTATTTATGTGACTCCTATTCAGGGTGGAATGGCTGAGAAAGTGGGGACTTGCTTTTGTTAGAGTGGACCCTTGGTGTACAACATTGGGAAGTTGTGAGGGCTCATTTCTTCCTATAACTTCTCCAAGTCAGATGGATACACATTTAGTAAATATGCAGCCAGGTGTGTGGACCTGTTTTGGGGCAAAAGATACAAAAAGTAAGCAAGACCCAGATACTACTGCCTTCCAGAAAGAAGCTGCCAGTTTCTGGGGTGGGACAGATACGCAAACAGGTGATTTCAGTTCAGTGTTGTAAGGTTGATAATGGTAGGCACAGACCCATCACATTTGTATGTTGCAAAGGATTTGAAGGAAATGAGCATGCACACTTAGTCTCATGCTTTCTTAAAGAACCTAATACAAAAACCTAAATACAGAATGTATAACTGATAGAGTGATTGCTATTTCCTTTATGATTGAAATTTGCACTCCAGAAATGTGATCTCATGGTTCCATTAAATAAAAGTCTTTCCTAGTGAATAGGATATATTATTTACGCATAACATTTCTGGAACCAAGTACTTTGTCCAGTAAAGGATGCCTTGATGCTGGAACAACTGCATTCAATATCAAGATATGTGAAAACTATATCATGCTGTGCTACTCAGTTGCTATAAACATTCTTAATTACTCTTTGTTCCAAATACTGTTTCATTTGGAGGAAAGTCATTTGGGCAGAGTAGATTGTTGCATTCCATTTTGTAAATATTCCTTGTAAGTCATTAGTTTATTCATTGACCCAGTGGTGGTATTTCCAGTTTTTTATCACAACTTTGAGTGCTGTCCTTTATCTTATATTAAGTGAAAGAATGAATGATGTTTATCCAACCCCAGGGCCGGGCATGGCTGTGTTGTAGTGGCTTACTCTGCCCTGAGTGTTGAGTGTACACATGTGTTTTGCAATCTGTTTCAGTCATCGCTGTTAAGTGCCGTGCTTGGGGAGCTGCCGCCGAGCCAGGGGCTGGTCAGCGTGCATGGAAAAATCGCCTATGTTTCTCAGCAGCCCTGGGTGTTTTCGGGAACTGTGAGGAGTAATATTTTATTTGGGAAGAAATATGAAAAGGAACGCTATGAAAAAGTAATAAAGGCTTGTGCTTTGAAAAAGGTGAGTGATGATTGCAGAATTTCAAGTTACATTAGTGTTAGGTTAAATGTCAAAGTTTTATTAAATTTTTTAAAAAATAATTTTGTAAGATCTTTGAATGTTATTTAATACTTTGAGCCAGTCTTCCAGGTAAATACATAGATACACACACACACTCTCACTCTTTCTGTCTCTCTCTGTTGTTTTCATACCAATGTAATAATGATAATCATAGTATGCTTTTGTGTGGGTTTGGTTTTGTTTTGTCAAGTTTTATTCACTTGGAACATTTTTTTTTTAAATGGACAAGTAGAAAAATTTGCAAAAGTGGAGAGAATAGGTTTTTTTTTTTTTTTTTTTTTTTTTTTTTTTTTTTGAGACAGAGTCTCACTTTGTTGCCCAGGCTAGAGTGAGTGCCATGGCATCAGCCTAGCTCACAGCAACCTCAAACTCCTGGGCTCAAGCAATCCTGCTGCCTCAGCCTCCCGAGTAGCTGGGACTACAGGCATGCGCCACCATGCCCAGCTAATTTTTTCTCTGTATATATTATTTGGCCAATTAATTTCTTTCTATTTATAGTAGAGATGGGGTCTCGCTCTTGCTCAGGCTGGTTTTTTTTTATTATTATTATTATTATTTTTTTATTTTTTGAGACAGAGTCTCGCTTTGCTGCCCAGGCTAGAGTGAGTGCTGTGGCATCAGCCTAGCTCACAGCAACCTCAAACTCCTGGGCTCAAGCGATCCTCCTGCCTCGGCCTCCCAAGTAGCTGGGACTACAGGCATGCGCCACCATGCCCAGCTAATTATTTCTTTATATATTATTTGGCCAATTAATTTCTTTCTATTTTTATAGTAGAGACGGGGTCTCACTCTTGCTCAGGCTGGTTTTGAACACCTGACCTGGAGCAATCTGCCCGCCTCGGCCTCCCAAAGTGCTAGGATTACAAGCGTGAGCCACTGCTTCCGGACGAGAATAGTGCATTGAAGCTCCGTGCACCATCACTCAGCTTTAGCCATGATCAACTTGTGGCTAGTCTTGCTTCATGCCTGCCCGCTGATGTCTGCCAGCCCTGCCCTATCCAGATTTTTTCTAAAGCAGACCCTAGACTGTATAGTGTTTTACCTTTGAATATTATATTATGTAATCTCTAAAATATAAGAACTTATTTGAAGAAAACATCACCACATTGTCACACCTAAAAAAAAAAATGACCAAAATTCCTTGTTGTCCTTAACTGTCTACTCCATGTTTATAATTCTTTAGTTATCCCATTAAGAAACATTACCCGGCTGGGCGCGGTGGCTCATGCCTGTAATCCTAGCACTCTGGGAGGCTGAGGTGGGCGAATTGCTTGAGGTCAGGAGTTTGAAACCAGCCTGAGCAAGAGCGAGACCCCGTCTCTACTATAAATAGAAACAAATTAATTGGCCAAGTAATATATAGAAAAAATAAGCCGGGCATGGTGGCGCATGCCTGTAGTCCCAGCTATTCGGGAGGCTGAGGCAATAGGATTGCTTGAGCCTAGGATTTTGAGGTTGCTGTGAGCTACTCTAGCCTGGGCAACAAAGTGAGACTCTGTCTCAAAAAAAAAAAAAAAAATGAAAGAAAGAAAGATTACCCATCATCCTGAATCAGACTCCAAATGAGATCTGCACGTGGTGTTTGGCTGATGTCTCTAACTTAGGTCACTTTCAGACCATAGGTTTCCCTCCCCACTTCATTTTTGACTTACAGTTTATTAGTTAGAGAAAATAGCATGTTTACAAGTTTCTTTTTAATACTGCCTCGTTTCACCAGGAGAGAGATTGCTTTCAGAAGTAACATTTGAGTTTTGCAGAAAATGACAAGGTGAAGTGTGTAATTATTTGTTGAGGTTTTAATAAAGTTTAAAGTTGCTGGATGATTGGTAAAAATTGAGCTTATCTAGGAGAATATAGGTTAGCAAAAAGAAAGGTAAAAACTGAAGAGAGGTATGTTATCCTCTTTGGGTCATAAAAGTCAGCGAATAATGGGGGTAAAGGGCTCTCCCCAGGGTCTGTTCAGTGCGGCCTGGACTTCCAGCTGTTCTTTTATACAGTCTGGAAAAGGCTGCCACACACTGTGATTGGAGTGATACAGAAGGCTTCCAAGCAGCTTGGGGAGGGATGAGTAATTTTTGCAGGAACAATGGCTTGAACATCACAGATTGTATCAGGTGAGTAGCATTTTATGGTGATGTCGAAAAAAATTGCCTGTGTAAAAAGGTTTTATTGCTTTCTCTTGGGTTATTTATGTGTTTTCAGAAATGACATCACGTTAGCAGTAATGAACTAGATTTGTATTAAATAGCATACATATCTAAGAAAAGGGTTAAGCAAATGTAGGATGGTAATGGTAATAGCTCCCATTTAGTCGAGGTCCACCATGTTTTAATTATCTCTCTCCCTCTCTCTGTCTCACACATGCGTATGCACACAAAACATCTGTGAGCTTTTAATCTTTTGCTATACTTTGTAGTGTCTTCAATATTATTATTATTTTATGGTTGGTAAGAGGGAGGGTTAGAGAGATGAAATGACACACCCTTTTGCAGATCAAGTTCCAACCCCCATCTGCCTGGCTCCAGATTCCCTTTCCTCTCTGCCATGCCAGTCTCAACTGAGGATGTTTACAAGGCAGAACTAGAGTAAAATCTGGGTTATTTATGAAGGTGGAATGTCAACAAAATTCGTTCTCAAGCATCTCCTTATTTTTCTATTTTTGTGAGACAGTGTTCCACTTTGTTGCCCAGGCTAGAGTGAGTGCCATGGCGTCAGCCTAGCTCACAGCAACCTCAAACTCCTGGGCTCAAGTGATCCTCCTGCTCCAGCCTCCCTAGTAGCTAGGACTACAGGCATGCGCCACCATGCCCGGCTAATTTTTTCTATGTATATTAGTTGGCCAATTAATTTCTTTCTATTTATAGTAGAGACGGGGTCTCACTCTTGCTCAGGTTTCGAACTCCTGACCTTGAGCAATCTGCCCGCCTCAGCCTCCCAGAGTACTAGGATTACAGGCATGACAAGCATCTCCTTTTTTACCTTGGTCAGGGTCAGCTTCTGATACTCACATCTGATGCCTGATTCCGAGGTCAGCCCAGCCCTGCCTGCCTTTCTCTTCTCCACGTCTCTGGGGGGTAGCAGGTGTTGGGATGGTGGCTGTCCGTTGGCATCTTCCACAGCCACCTGCGAGGGCTGGGCCAGTAATGTGGGCAGTGTCGTGGGCTTCTGCATGGCAGGCAGACTCCAGTGGGAACGGGGTCCCCAGGCTGGGCTGCATAGTGATTTTTCGGTTTGTTCTGTGATGTCTATACGCATGGACTGTTACCCTCCCTGCGCACATTCCCTTCTTTGGCAGAATGACAGCCCCGGGGTGGAGAGGTGAAACAGAGCAGAAGTCCTGGCCCGGCTTCGTCCCTTACTCCTTGTCATTTTGGACACATCGTGTTACCTCTCTGGGCCCCTGGCGTCTCTGCTGCAAAATGAGTATGTTGGCTTAGATGGTTTGCAAGAGGTTTTGCTGCAGTCTGAAAAGCCACTTAGGACTATGTAGCAGGGGATCATTGGTGTCTCTGTCACTCTCATCCTCCCAAGTCAGGTTCTTAGCATTTCTTTCTTTCTTTTTTTTTTTGAGACAGAGTCTCCCTTTGTTGCCCAGGCTAGAGTGAGTGCCATGGCGTCAGCCTAGCTCACAGCAACCTCAAACTCCTGGGCTCAAGCAATCCTGCTGCCTCAGCCTCCCGAGTAGCTGGGACTACAGGCATGCGCCACCATGCCCGGCTAATTTTTTTCTATATGTATTAGTTGGCCAATTAATTTCTCTCTATTTATAGTAGAGACAGGGTCTCGCTCTTGCTCAGGCTGGTTTCGAACTCCTTACCTCGATCAAATCCGTCCACCTCGGCCTCCCAGAGTGCTAGGATTACAGGCGTGAGCCACCGCACCCTGCCATGGTTCTTAGCATTTCTTACCGCTTGCATTTGCAGTAACTTTTTATTGTCAGCCATCTACCTTGAAAACTCTAGGAACTTTGTTTACTGCTAAATTTACTGTGTCTAGAACCAGGCCTGACATATAGTCATTACTCAGTAAATACCTGTTAAAATGTTTAAGCGCATAGATGCTGTGATGAACTACAGCATTAAAATAAAACACCCTGAGAGTTTTTTTTTTTTTTTTTGAAAGGGCGAAAGTTACAATTTAGTCACCACGAAATATCTCCATTGCTGTTGATCAAATATGTGTATATGTTTGCAGAATTGACATGCAAAATTTAGGATAATAGTAGAACACAATTTATTCCCCCCCCTTTTTTTCTCCCATGTAGGATTTACAGCTTTTGGAGGATGGGGACCTGACTGTGATAGGAGACAGGGGAACCACGCTGAGTGGAGGGCAGAAGGCACGTGTAAACCTAGCAAGGTAAGGCAAGCTTCAGCCACCGCTGTGCTGGTGTCTTTTGTATTTCTAGAGCTACCCACTTACTCTGTGCTCGGCTCTGTGTGAAGCGTCTGTCTGCGATGATTCCATGGGTGTTTGGAATCTCCATCCACGTTGTTGAGCGTGGTTATGCTTCCTAGGTAGGAGCTGGGAAGCGTGGCGCCTTCTGATGTCCCTTTACACGTTTTTCTAGAGCCGTGTATCAAGACGCCGACATCTACCTCCTGGACGATCCTCTCAGCGCGGTTGATGCGGAAGTTGGCAAGCACTTGTTCGAACTGTGAGTTTCTTCTCGCTTCTCCTTTTCAAGAACCCTTTGAGTTGGCTCAGGAAAGCCTGTGTAGCTTCTGAAAATTTAGCTTGTCTTGCCCTGTGGGTTTGGGCTCCCCCCTCCCCCCGATCCATTTTAGAGAACTTCTGCAACAATGATGACCTTGTACTTGCAAGGAAGGAAAATATAGAAGGAGATTTCAGTGTGTTGAAGTGAGTGGAGTTCATTCTTTAGGGAGTTAAGAAATACTTGATCACCAATAAATTACCAATGGATCCAGACCCCAGGAATAAGAAAGATGACATACAAATTTTACATTGAAGGGTGAGACTTGGCAACCTGGTGCTTGGCTTGCTAGTTCCTTTCCTCCATTATTTGTTTATGGCACACTAAAGTGAGGTTTTCAGTATCAACACAGGACTTTTGTGGAGAGGCGTTGTTGGTTGATGCTTATAATCTGGAAGTTTGGAAATAATTAGTAAAGTCTAGAATTCAAGAATGATTTGTTCTGTATTAGAGTATGGCTTCAAGAGATTCATGTTGCTTCATGGATTTGTGCTAGAATTAACCCTTAAGACGCACATACGTGTAGGGTTAGCTTGCGTTTGAAACTAGTCTAGAATGCTGACTCTCACTTGATGGTTCTGGAATTTGTTTTCTTTGGCTCTTTGTTGGCACTGAGATGGAGCAACTCCAGAATCTTCTTTTGTGTCTACCCTAACCTAACGTGCTGATGTTAGGTCTGTGTCGCCCAGACCTGCAGTCCCCAACTCATAGGCGGCAGCCTCTTAGGAACCAGCCGTGCATCACTGCCTGAGCTCCCGCCTGCACCCCCCACTCCCCCGGAAAAGTTGTCTTCCATGAAACTGGTCCCTGGTGCCAAAAAGTTGGAGACCACTGGTTAGATTGGTCTTTCTGAAAGCATCATGAGCTTGGCCTTGCTAAAACAGCATCCCCACCTGCCCCACAGCAAGCTGCTTGCTTGTGACCTTGTTAAGGCCAGTGAGCCCTTTCATCTGCACTGATGGAAGCACTTACTATAGGGACCGAGATAGGTGCTCTTACAGGTGCTTTTGGGCAAAAGATCTTAGTTTACAAAGTAGGACAGTCAACCACAGAGAAGTTAGGGATTCTGGGCAGAGTAAGGGAGATAGAGAAGTTTAGAATCTCATTCCTGCCTTTAAGGAATGTGTCTCTACATGGAGCTTGTCAAGATAAGCACGGGTTCAGTGTACCCAACTTGAGTTTAAGGGGATTTCAGTGTAGGTTAATCAATGTGAAATTGAAGAAGCGGGTAGCTGTCGGCATTCAGCTGAGATCAGGAAGTGCAGTGTGGGCTTGGCTTGGCGGGAAGTAGCCTGTGGTCCTGCAGGGCTGGGAAGGGTGTGTAGATGCTCAGAACAGGATTCGATTCCTTTGGTAAAAGGAATAGTAGAAGCAGAGGGGACGGGAGCAAATGAGGCTCGTGAAAAGAACAGCAAGCAGGCAAGTCTTCCTCAAGCAGAGGATAGATACGGCTTATACCATGAAAAAGAGATATTTGGAACTGCTCACTGTCAGGTCTCGTGTTGGTCACCAGGGCTGCCATCACAAAGTGCCATGGGGCTGGGTTGCTTAAACAACAGCAGTCGTTTTCTCTGGAAGTCTGAGATCCAGGCATCTGCAGCTTTAGTTTCTCCTGAGGACCCTGTCCTTGGCTTGCTGATAGATGGCTGCCTTCTCACAGGGTCCTCACCCCAACTTTCCTTCCTGTGTGTATGTGTCCAGATCTTTTCCTTTTAGGACATTAGTTAGGTTGGAGTAGGGCCCACTCTCTCGGCCTGATTTTAACTTAATTATCTTTTGGAAGGTCCTGTCTCCAAATTCTCAGCTTTTAGGGGTGAGGGCTTGGACATGGAAGCCTTGAGGGGAGCACATTTTAGTCCCTGACGGGTCCTAGATGACGAGGTAAAGAGAGAGACTCAGGCAGTGTCAGCAGTGTGACAGTCACTCGTCTCTAGGCTCTGGCTCTGGCTTCAAGGGGCTGGGACATGAGGCCATCTACCCAACCTGTGGCTCTATGTGAAATGTGTTCTAGAAGTGGAGCGTCATGATAGTTGCACAACGGTGTAATTGTACTTGGTACACTGGGGTGTACACTTAAAAATGGCTAAAATGGTAAACTTCATGTGTATTTTACCACAATAAAAAAAAAACGTGGATGGTAGCACTGACTCTTTCAGAATGCAGAGAGCAGGAGCAGCTGGCACTTGGCATTGTCCCCAGTGCTCTGATGTGACTCTCCTTTCCTTCCTGCTCCAGGTTGTGACTTGGTGAATTTTCCCTTTGGCACAGAAGGGGCTTTGTGACTTGTGTGAGTCCCCACCAGTACTTTAGCACAATTCCTGATGGGACTCCACCTTGGCCTCCCCAGGGAGGCGTGAGGAAGGTGTTGTAATTGCTGCATATCCGTGTGCATATCGCAAAAGCTCCCCTAAGTTTTTCTTTGAACACAGGAGGTATTTATAAAGTCCTCTTGCACCTTTAAGGTTTAATGACTTTGGATATACACTTGATAGAAGCAAGCTTGTTAAAATTGTTGTTTGCTAATCAGAATCACATTCTTTGGGGAAACTTAGGGCAGGGAGCAGGAATGCAATTTAGGAAATCACTCAGCAGCAACTGGAGAATGTTCTCAACGAGTTAGAAAATTGGATTGAACAATATGCTCTGAAAGATGGCGGTTGTGTTGGAGCTTAGAAATGTGAAGTGTTTTGTATTAAAAGTGAATGAATTACACTTCTCTTTGCCATTAACAGTTTTACTTCAGTCATGAATATATAGCCAAGGTTATTAAGGTTTGTGAGTTTTACAACGGTATGTTGTAAACATTAAGTGGATTCTATCATATGTAGGAGGCGAGGGCCCTTAGATTAAACTGATGCCAATCTGATTTGTTGCAAGCTATGGATTTTGTGATATAATAGAAAGCCCCAGTTGCTCAGACCTCTGCCATCTGCATAATTCATCCTTCCAGTCTCTCCTCATCAGATCTCCCACACTGTTGCCTACCTACTTGTCTTAGGGACAAGTGGACATTTGGTCCACTGTGACTCAATTCCATAAATGTGATGGTTTATAAACAACAGAAATTTATTTCTCACAGTACTGGAGGCTGGAAAATCCAAGATCAAGGCACCAACAGTTTGGTATCTAGGGAGGGCTCACTCTCTGCTTGGTTCATAGACAGCCCTCTTCTTACTGCATCCTCACATCGTGAAAAGGGTGAGGCAGCTCCTTGGGCCTCTTTTATCTTTATTTTTTTGAGACAGAGTCTCACTTTGTTGCCCAGGCTAGAGTGAGTGAGTGCCCTGGCATCAGCCTAGCTCACAGCAACCTCAATCTCCTGGCCTGAAGCGATCCTCCTGCCTCAGCCTCCCAAGTAGCTGGGACTATAGGCATGCGCCACCATGTCTGGCTATTTTTATTTATATATATACTATACTATATATATATATATTTTTTTTTAGTTGGTCAATTAATTTCTTTCTATTTTTAGTAGAGATGGGGTCTCACTCAGGCTGGTTTCTAACTAGTCCTGACCTTGAGCAATCCTCCCGCCTTGGCCTCCCAGAGTGCTAGGATTACAGGCGTGAGCCACTGTGCCGGCCACCTGCCGGCCACTGATCCTCCCACTTGGGCCTGTTTTATAGGGGCACTAATCCCACTCCTGAAGGCAGATTCCCATAAATTGGAATTAGGAGGCTCCACCTCCTAATACCATCCCATTGGTTTCAACATTAATTTGGGGAGGGCCACAAACATTCCGGCCACAGCACTGGTTCACCTTCCCCCTTGCAGTCCTTCACAGACTCCCCACTTTTGGATACAGTTCCAGGTCCTTGAATGCTGAGCAGTTCTTTGCCATCTGCCCCCATTCACCTTTCCGAGTCTTCCTCAACAAGCCTGGTGCTCCAGCCATTCCGACTTCCGTGGAGCGCCCTGAAAGAGGCATGCGTGCCCTTTCTCACCTCTGCCTGTGTCTCCTGTCTGCATGAGGATCTTCAATCTGAGCTCTGGGGACAGTTGTGCAAAGCAGAACCCACCTGCTTGCCTTTCCCTCCTGTGCCTCCAGGGGGCATCATGCCCGTTCTGCCTGCCCGCTGCCCTCAGTGGGTTGTTCCTGGTCCCATTTATGTGTCCTTCCCCTCCTCTCCTGACACTAGGCTGGGACATGCGTGAAGGCACGTGGCTCATATGTCACCTCCTTGCAGAGGCTTTCCTGAACACTCCCTCTACAATTGCAACCCTCGCCTTGCTTTTTCTACGTAACTCACGGCCCGGGAGTGCACTGTCTGTGTTTGTGTAGTGTGTCTCTTCTATGCGATGCAGCATGTTGTCTGTTGGCTCGACCAGTGGCTGGATCTTCAGCACATAGAGTAGTGCCTGTCACTTTGCAGCCGCCCAGCAAACATGTGTTCACTCTGTCCTTTGTCAGCACATATTATATATCAGCACTTATTATATTCTAGTATATATAGGATGAGTGTTAAATAATCTATTATGGAATCAATCATTTTTTGTATTTGGCTTCTTTTGTTTTATGGCATGACTTGAAACTTTTTTTTTTTTTTTTGAGAGAGAGGGGTCTCTCTCTGTTGCCCTGGCTACTCGCTTTGTTGCCCAGGCTAGAGTGAGTGCCCTGGCGTCAGCCTAGCTCACAGCAACCTCAAACTCCTGGGATCAAGCAATCATTCTGCCTCAGCCTCCCAAGTAGCTGGGACTACAGGCATGCGCCACCGTGCCTGGCTAATTTTTTCTATATATTTTTAGTTGGCCAATTCATTTCATTCTATTTTTAGTAGAGACATGGGGGTCTCCTCTTGCTCAGGCTGGTCTCGAACTCCTGACCTTGAGGGTTCCGCCCACCTCGGCCTCCTAGAGTGCTAGGATTACAGGTGTGAGCCACCACGCCCGGCTGAAACATTTTATTCTTAAAAATTCAGAGAGTATTTTTTTTGAGATTTTGATAGATAGTATAATTTAGGAAGAATTTAAAGCCATCAGTTACAATGATAACGTAACTATTTATATTATGTCATCTATTTTTTTTTTTTTTTTTATCTCACTTTCGTTGCCCAGGCTAGAGTGAGTGCCATGGCGTCAGCCTAGCTCACAGCAACCTCAAACTCCTGGACTCAAGCAATCCTTCTGCCTCAGCCTGTGGAGTAGCTGGGACTACAGGCATGCGCCACCATGCCCGGCTAATTTTTTCTATATATATTAGTTGTCTAATTAATTTCTTTCTATTTATAGTAGAGATGGAGTCTCACTCTTGCTCAGGCTGGTTTTGAACTCCTGACCTCGAGCAATCCGCCCGCCTCGGACTCCCAGAGAGCTAGGGTTACAGGCGTGAGCCACCGCCTCCGGCCATATTATGTCATCTAGATAGAAGATGTTAGGAAAAAAACATTTTGCAGCCTTTGCGTTGGCTGATCTCAGACATGGCAAACCCATTAGATGTGATTGGTAACACCCCCCTTCAGGTATTTATATAAAGGGATTCAGGACAGGCAATTTTGAATTAAGGAGGAACAGTTCCATTAAAAGCTTTAGTTCTAAGTGTGAAGAAGGGTTTGTGAGGTTAAGAAACTTGGATAAAAAATAAGCCAAACTAAGACTTGTCAAAAGGGAAAAGTTAATCCTTTTTGATTTCAAGAATGAAGTAACAACATGCACATCTACAGTCTGGTGTCTTGGTTCTGATTGTAGGCCCGGTTTCTAAAGTGCCTGCTCACGACTGCTAACTCCTGACTTTCTGAAAACTGATGGCTAATTGTGGGTTAAGGGGAAGAGTTGAGGATGGTACTAATTTATTGAGCATGGGTTATATTCCTGGCCCTTTTTACAGAGTAGTGCTTTTGTTTCTCGGAACATGCTTACAGGTTGACATTAGCCTTGTTTTTATTTATTTTTATTTTTATTTTTTTTATTTTTGAGACAGAGTCTCACTCTGTTGCCTGGGCTAGAGTGCCATGGTGTCAGCCTAGCTCACAGCAACCTCAAACTCTTGGGCTCAAGTGATCCTTCTGCCTCAGCCTCTCGAGTAGCTGGGACTACAGGCATGCGCCACCATGCCCGGCTAATTTTTCCTATATATTTTTAGTTGGCCAATTAATTTATTTCTATTTTTTTTAGTAGAGACGGGGTCTCGCTCTTGCTCAGGCTGGTTTGAACTCCTGACCTTGAGCGATCCTCCTGCCTTGGCCTCCCAGAGTGCTAGGATTACAAGCATGAGCCACTGAGCCCGGCCTAGCCTTGTTTTTAGATGAAGAAACCGAGGTTCAGAGACAGTAACTCACCATCATTGTCAGGCCAGTAAGAAGTAGAGCAGCGTCAAACTCCAGCCTCTGTTTTTCCAGAACTCTTGCTCTGACCCACCTCAGCAGGTTGTGTCCTTGCCATGTTCCTGAAATTTGCTCTGTGCAAGGACGTGAGAAGCTACAGTATTTGCCAAGAACCCTGCCCGTGAATCCTGGGCCTCATACCTGCCTGCTCGCTTACCCTAGGAGGGTGTAGACCATTGCAGGATTGGGGCTGGGCTGAGTTCCCAGGGGTCTGTATTCCCAACACAGGAGCATGTGCAGGGTCACTCACTGTACACGTGCTCCGAGGGTCAATATTGAGTTGGGTCTTAACCTTTGAGCCACTGTATGATTCCTACTATGATTTGAACTATTTGGATTCTGTTCTTTATTTTCGTATTTGGAGATTTTTTAGTTGTAATGAGAGTTTTGCTTCCTGCGTGAAAGTGGAAGTATTGTGGGGACTGAGGCCTCACTGGCATTTTTTCTTTCTGTCTACTATTATATTTGGGAAGAAGGATCTGGAAAAATGTACTCTGGCAGAGTTTACTAAGAATCTAAGGGCCCCCTGCCCCATTTTTGGTTAATATGTACATTATAAGTAATCACCTAGGAAACCTTCAAGAGAATTGTCCACATTGTCATATGACATTGATTTCTCTCTCTCTTTCCCCTTCTTACTAGCAATAAAATAATTAGTGTTTTAATTAAGTGACGTTTTTAAATCTCAGTGTTGTTTTTTTTTTCATTGTGACATCCATACTTGCTAAACTGTGTTTTAGAAGAAAAAAGTTTAGCAGGCACTACCTCCTTCAGTAGACTGTGTAGATTTTCTTAGAACAGCAAGGCACACGTTTGCTGCTGGTGAATTTGAGGACGTGATCGGCTTCATTTACTTATATTTGTATTTGATTTGTATTTAAATTACAGATCTTTGCTGTTTTGTCTTTGTCTCATTATGATTTCAAAATGAATGTTTTCAGTTTGGAGCACCTGATTCATGTATTTTTCATACACATACCTTTTACAATTTACAGGTGTATTTGTCAAACCTTGCATGAGAAGGTCACAATTCTAGTGACTCATCAGTTGCAGTATCTCAAAGCGGCAAGTCAGATCCTGATACTGAAAGATGTGAGTAATTTCTAGAAGTTTCCTGAACTTTCTGATACTGAGGTGTGTTGGATGAAGGGTCTCTCAGCAGGTCACCCTCCTTGGGCTTCCGGAGAAACTCCCTCTTCTTCCTCAATCTTGTGTTTCTTCTCAGACCAGGGATTCATGCCTTTGAAGACAAATTCAAAGGACTTTTGGAAACGTCACTGTTACATTCTAAACCATATTACCCTATAGTCTAGGAAATTGCTATGTCACAATTACTAAATTATGACCATTCTAGTGAAATTTTTACAGGTAATGATGCTATTTTACTGAGAACTTTTTGTTTCCCTCTTCCATGACATATGTCAAAGTATATTATTTGGATGTTACAGATAGTAACACCTTTTTCTATCCATTTGATTGTCGTACGTCATTTGCCTACAGAGCACCTTCTATTCATAACAGAAACATAGTTGGGTAGCCAAGCAGCTCCTAGGGGTTCAAGCACCCTCTTTCCTGGTATATCCACGGCCAGTCTTACTGCACTGGTATTTCTGAGCACTTGTTTCTTGTGAGAGCCTGCAAAGCAACATGTAAGACAAAATTCCTGACATTGTAGGCTCCTATTTCTCCTGCAGATAGATGCAGTGATGGAGATAGAGGGGTCAGGCTTATCTGATGGGGACCTGAGTGACAATGACATGACGGTGCCAGCCATGCAGTCACCTGGGAGAAGAGATTCTGGGGCTGTTGGACTGACAGTGGGGCCCTAAAGAAGGAAGTCACCTGGTGTGTTTGCACGAAAGGCAGAGCGCTGCCTGGCTGGAGCTGAGGAGGGAGGTGGGCTCAGAGTGGTGGGCAGTAAGCCTGGAATGGGGACAGAAGCCACTGTATAGTTCAGAGCAGGGGAGTGACATGGTTTCATTTGTAATTTTTTTAAAGATCCCTCTTGATGTTTGCTATAGGAGCTACAGCAGAAACCATTTGAATTCTTAGTTCAGAAAACAAAAATATGGGCTTAGGTTGCAGGAACAAAGAACCACAAACTGTATGGCTTAAAACCACAGAATTTCTCTTCTTACAGTTCTGAGGCTGGAAGTCCAAAATCCAGGTGTCAGCAGGGCTGATCTCTCTCCGAAGTTTCTAGGAGAGAATCCTTCCTTGGGTCTTCCACCTGCGGGCATTTGCTGCCAGTCCTTAATGTTCAGAGTTTGTAGCTGCGGCACTTCCATCTCTGCCTTGTCACGTGGCCTTATCTCTGAGTCTGTCTGGGTTTCTTCTTATAAGGATATGTGTCCTGTTGGATTTATGGCCTCCCAGTATGGCCTCATCTTAACTAGATTACATCTGCAAAGATCCTGTTTCCAAAAAAAGGGCACATTCCCCAGTACCAGGATTTAGGACTTGAATGTATCTTTCTGGGGTTCACTATTTGAGCTGTGGGGTTCAACCCACAGCTGCCAGCATGGTTGGGGAGGTGAAGATTAGTGAGTTTTTCAGACCTCGAGTGATTTGAGGCATCACTCTGAGGCTTGTTTGCCTCTCTAGCTGAGCTACCCCTGTCTGGCCCAGCAGGTCCTGGGTCACATCCCTTACTGTAGGTCTGAAACTCCCTTAGTACCCTCAAACATTTCCTGTCCTACAACCTCTTGGTAAAATAATGGAAATAACAAATAATGCATATTCACTACAGTTCACAAGATCTGTGTGTATCATTGTCAGAGATAAATTTCACATTATTGCCATAAACAGGATACATACTGATAGCAAAGTTCTTGCAGGTCATTTTTTAAACGCCTCCTTGCTGGTTAACATAGCTGCTAAAGAACAGGGAGGAACTTGTCCACCGAAGCTCTGTCCGATGAATTCTTGCCCCAAGGAGGAGCATAAAAAAACTGCTGCCCTTTCACAAGCAAATCCATATGCCAGTTCTTCCCCACTCCCCCAGGAATAGGGAGGTCATGTTCCTCAAACTTGAAAACAATTTTGTGTGCAGAGGGCTGAAACTAGTTTGGTAAGACCCAAATGTTGGTCATATTATGAGAATATTACAGAATGCACTGGTGAGAAACCTTATCACCAGTCCCCAGATTTTGTGGGGCCTCCCTTAGCACCTATTTTGGGCATGCTTCTTCAGTTTTAGTACTTTCAAAACAACTATTTTTTTCTACGCGCGGGGAACCCCTGAATGATCTGGGGTCCATCTTTGCTGATGGTGTCATCCCTAACTCATAGCAGGGGGCCATGGGCTTCTCCTCCGAGTCCACTTAGAATTTCTTCTCAAAATTTTACCTCCTAGGTAGAATTAAGATGCAAGGCATCAGGCAACATTTTCTAATCCTCTAGTTTTAAACTATTTCAAAGAGCCTAAGGGCCCAAGGGCATCACTGGATTCTTCTTGGTGTACCACCTTGGGGGTCATGAGAGGACTGGGCTAGCAGGTGGGGGTCCTGGGCCACCTTTCCCCACCTGTCCTGCCTTAACCAGAGATGCTCTCTTGATTTGTTTTGTATCCTTAGATTTTGACTAGTATTTTGCTTGTTGCTATTTGAGTAAATCAGCTTGGTCTCCTTTCATGGAGTGAGAAAATAGTAAAGACATGTATACATTAAATGTTATTTTCTATAACTTTGTAAGAAAGAGAAACTGTGTAGAAAGGTGTCCCTTGGAACGTTGAATTTTCATTTCGGAACTTCCTGAGTTGGTGGGACAGTTTTAGAGTGAAGACCATGAACGTGCAGCTCCTGGGCTCTCTGACTAAGGCTAGTGCCAACACACCTCGTCCCAGCAGGTCGCTTGGCACTGGGCCAGCAGAGGCTCACCTGGGTGACTCCTGCAAGGGCGGACATGCTCATGCCCACCTCCCTGTCATTCTTGAGTTTCTTTCCTGGAATATCTTTCCCAGTTTTCTCTGTTCCTTTAATTCTTATCACATGAGGCTTAGCTCAGTTTTTACATTTTCTATGAAGACTACTAATATGCCCACCAATAGCATGCTTTTTGCTTCCTTAAATGCCCATAGTATTGACATAAATGACCTGCATTTGTAACGCACGATTACACTTTTTTTTAAATCTCCCCTGGCACCTAACACAGGGTCTGGCAGAAAATAGAATGCTCAGTCAGATATTGAGTTTAATTGTACTAGATTTTTCTGAACCAGGATTCCAAACCTAAACATACTTATAATTTAAGACCAATTAGCTTTTACTAGATTAGAATTAGATTAGGTTAGTATTGTCATGTGCACATGTATTCCTCTGAAATCCTTTATTTTCCTTTTAGGGTAAAACAGTGCAGAAGGGGACTTACACTGAGTTTCTGAAATGTGGGGTCGACTTTGGTTCCCTTTTAAAGAAGGAAAACGAGGATACTGAACAGCCTCCAGGTCCGGGATCGCCCACGCTAAGGAATCGGACCTTCTCAGAGTCTTCGATTTGGTCTCAGCAGTCGTCTCGACCCTCACTGAAGGACAGTTCTCCAGAGAGCCAAGACGTGAGTTCATCTCATGCTCCGTCATTCACTGGTGTTGTCACCTCCTTGTGGCCTCTTGGATCTTTGGTTCACTCTTCTCAGGACATCAGCATCTTGTCCCAAAGTAGATTCTGCACCTCCAGGGTCTTTATTCAGTGGAATTGGCAGAATTAGGGGAACAAGCCTGGTTGGGGTTATCCGTGAGTTGTTGGCCAGTGAATCTCCTGGAGGTCACTAGTGGGTGCACGTGCTGCTGGAAGTCGCTAAGGTGTGTGTGGCCCACACTATATTCACCATGGGAAAAATCCCACTTGCTCTGGTGGTCCCAGGCTTCCCATTTGCATCCAGGGGCTTAATTTGGTGACCCCTTAGACAGAGTCCTGCTGTGGGTCACATTCAGTCAGCCAAATTGGACTGTTGTGACACTGTAGGTGTCTCGTTCTGTCCTGTCGTCAGATGGTTTGTGTTAGGCCAGGAGTAGCTTGTGCGAAGACCTGACATTCCTCTCCACGGCAGACACTTCAGAGTTAGTTCCCGACTTCCTTCCTTATCTTTGAAGACCAGAATCTACATCCCTTTTTTTTTTTTTTTTAATGGAGATGTAATCTTGCTTTGTCACCATGGTACAGTGCAGTGGTGTCATCATAGGTCACAGAAACTTTAGACTCCTGAGCTCCAGGGATCCTCCTGCCTCAGCCTCCCAGAGTAGCTGGGACTACAGGCTCACGCCACCATGCCCAGCTAATTTTTTTTGTTTTTAGTAGAGACAGGGTCTTGCTCTTTGTTCAGGATGGTTTCGAACTGCTAAGCTCAAATGACCTTCCCACCTCGGCCTCCCAGAATGCTAGGATAACAGGTGTGAGCCACTGTGCCCAGCCCCGTAATCTACATCTTATTCATCTTGGAGTTCCCACAGGACAGCATTGAGCCAAGTATGTCCTCAGATCTTGTGAATCTATAATACATTCTAAGTCCTCCAGGCAGAAATGCACTAGAGCTCCTTTAAAAATACATAGAGAGATAGATAGTCCTTATCATCCAAACCCTCAGTATCCACATCCAGAAGCCTAGATCATTCTGATTAGTTCTTAAGAATGAGTTTCTGAAACTTTAGAATGAAATAGATTTGGATCACAGGCCATCCCTTGCTATCCAAACTCTCATTACTGAAACTGACCGAGTGACCTCAGTTATTGTATTTGGCTAACATTTTGACTCTCTCCTCTGTTTTATGTTTCCACCTTGAATAATGCAATCTAGTGTGACACACGAGTTCCACGTCATTTTGTATCTGATTTTGGAATAAGCTTCTGCATTTACAGTTGAACTCGGGTATGCTAGGCAAGGGCTGAAAATCCTGACATCATGCTTTAAGCAAAGCACACCGCAGTGTGCAAATGATACTTCCTTACTTGTAATAGGCTCTCAGTAGTGGGATGGCTGGGTCAAAGGGTAAATGCATGTACGGTCTGGCTAGATATTTCCACACCTTTCTCCACAGGATAGGTACCATTTTGGACTCTTGCCTGGAGCGTGTCACATGGGCCTGTTTTTCTATAGCTCTTTAAACAGAGTACAATGTCAACTTTTGAAACACTTTTTGTATACTATTTTGTCTCTTTTTTTTTTTTTTTTTTTTTAACAATAAATCTTGGTGAGAACTATTTTGTCTCTTAACTGACTTTTTCTTTTCCTTCTCAGAATGATGACGTACAGGTAACGCCGTCAGAAGAGAGTCGATCTGAAGGAAAAGTTGGTTTTAAGGCGTATAAGAATTACTTCACAGCTGGCGCACACTGGATTGTCATCGTTTTCCTCATTCTTATAAATGCTGCAGCTCACGTAAACAATGACTTTGTTTTGTACCCTCAGACTGATGTTTACAGTACCCATATTTATGATATTATTACTGCATTTTGCAGTTCACTTGGGGTTTGCATTGAAATGTGTTATCTATGAGGAGCAAAATGGAGGAGTGGGGAGGGGGTTGCCTCCTGGTCTTACATGTACGCTACAAAGAACTTCCAGAAAAACGGGAATTTTTAAAAGATTCTTAAACGTAATATGTGTTTTCTTGTCCCGTTGTTATTTGGGAGGTTGGGCTTGGCATGGACCTGAGCTGGATGAACCCTCTCTGTTCCCTGAAGCTTTTCTTTTGATTATCCATTTTAGTGATTAAGAGTTTTGGGTTGGTGAGTCATGCCAAAATTTCACATTGATTTTTTTTTTTTTAATTTTCTTCCCCTCCTGTAGGTGGCGTATGCTCTTCAGGACTGGTGGCTTTCTTACTGGTGAGTTACCTCTGGTCTGAGGTGTGAAGTGCTATAAATCACTGTGAGGACTCGCTTTTTCCACAGAGTTGGGGGAGAGATGGAGATTGTTGAGCGTTCTCTTCTAATCCTCACTTAGTCCACAATGGAGAAATGGAAAGTTCTTGTAGGGGAGTGTGACCCGTATGGTCTCTACCCATGTCTGACCCTTAGCAACATCTTCCGACAATTTTGAGAACTGAAAGTCAGGATTCAAATTGAATTTTTGTGAAGTAGATGTATCCAGCACTGTGTGAGCTGGAGGGGTCATTTTCCAGCTTGCAACATTTCTCCCCAAGTTGAGGTTCATTTTTTTTGGGTATGTATCTGAATTCTATCTGGAGGGTAATCTTTTCTTTCTCCCTTGTTCCATAGGGCAAACAAACAAAGTATGCTGAATGCCACTGTAAATGGAAGAGCAAATGTAACTGAGAAGCTAGATCTTAACTGGTACTTAGGAATTTATTCAGGTAAAGTTTCATCATTTGGTCTACTATCTGAGAGGCTGAGGTGCTTACAATGAGCCTGTGTGAGTAACTGGGGCTTCTAGGAGTAATTCAGTAATGTCTTAACAGATTAGGAGTCTCAGTCACATTTAGTCTTTGAATTAATTAGAATAATTATTTTTAAAATCTACTAGAAGAAAGAGGTTGAATGAAGACTCTTAATTTGCTCTGTACTGGATTTTGAAAGTTAAACCGGGATTGAGCATTCAGAAAATCAGCCACTGGAAATATGTGGCTATTGTCTATTCTAATAGGTTGCTTTAGCTAAATCTTATATCATTATATGGATGGGCAAGGGGATTAGAAACGGATCCCCACCCTGTGGTTCGGATTCTTCCAATTCTGTCTAAATAAACCCTGGCTTTTATTGAACTTGGATGAAATCCTCTGGCAGCAAGGCCCCCAGAATGAAAGCATTATTCCCTCACAGGTATGCAAAGCTCCTTCACCACACTGCTCATCTCTCGGGCTTCACTAATTACTTAAGAGGGAAGCTGAGCTGGGAAAAATGCAGTGTCTGGGAATTAGGGCTCCTTCTATTTCTTACTTTGAGATCACAATGTTATCGCGCCCCCAACTGTGTGATTAATTTAACATTTGGCTTGCCAGACTAATATTAACACCGCGCTCTGTTTTCACAAGAGTGCTTGGAATATGTGTAGCATTACACACTGTTTAAAGGAAATCCTCATCTCATATTTTAAGTATTTCCACAGGAAACACTCATACAAGCTTTCCTCAGAGATAGAGTTGAGTTATCTTTGTAAGAAGCCACTCATTGAAATTGGGTATTTATTTCGTTGATCACTTGCTAAGAAATCTAAATCCATTAGCTGTTTACCTTCTGAATTGGTGGATTATGTGAAGACTAAAGGAAGAAGGAAAACGGTTCCATTACATGTTCATATAGAACGGGTGGGCTAAAGCAAAATGCCTGTTGATAGAGCTTAGGAATTTGAGTTCCTTCCGGAGGTTAAATAATAGTGATGTGTCTTCTGTAGGTGAAATATTGTTACAGAAGTTAGCATCGTGAGTTGAGCTGTTAAGAGAGTTCTCTTCATTTCTGTGTGCCAGTGGGTACTCATTCATGTCTTAATAAAATATATAATTTAGAGTAGACTATTATTCTTATTTAAAAATGCCTCGTATGTATATATATATATGTGTGTGTATATATATATATAAAACATATAATGAGGGATCAGTTGCTTATTTACATTATCTTATCTTAAAATATAATTTGTATTTTCTTGCAATTCAACTCAATGAAAAATGCAGCTCAGTTCAATTCAATTTCAAGTCTTTGAAAATGTTGCTAGAAGTTGGTAGAAGAAAATCACTATTTAATAGGTTTTTCGCATATAACTTACACTGGTATTTTAAAATTCTTTAAAGGTACTTGGGCATTTTCTATAAGGAAAAGGTATCATTTCTTCTGTTCCCTGTTAATATCACATGTTAGTATCAAAATGTAACACAATTTTAGATTAAGGGACGCAATGTAAAAAGTTTTGGGATAATGGAGATGAAAAGATGAATTTTTTTTTTGATTGTTTATCTTTTGGGTTTTTAATAAAAATTTCAATTGAATTAGGAAAACCTGGAATAAATTTGTAGTCTACACCCGATTTTTTTTTTGTCTGTGTGATTTCCTCTTAGCGAGAAAAATAAACTATTTTCATTATTTTTCAATGTATTTCGAAATACATTATACATTTGTAGAATCCAGATGCTTTATGGAATAAAATAATTTCTTTATAAACTGTGCAACTTGCTTTAGCATTGTTGAAGAAAATGCAGAGATACGCTGTGTTCTCAGAGTGCTGTTTCTTTCTTTCAGGTTTAACTGTAGCTACTGTCCTGTTTGGCATAGCAAGGTCTCTGTTGGCATTCTACGTCCTTGTTAATTCTTCACAAACGTTGCACAACAAAATGTTTGAGTCCATTCTGAAAGCTCCGGTATTATTCTTTGATAGAAATCCAATAGGTAAGTCAGACACCAAGTTTCTGAGTAAATATGTCTTGTTAATAACACATTTAGGCTCTGATTACATTTCAGTCTTTGAAAATGGAGGGGATGCTAGAAGAAAATCACTATGCATGTTGATTCATTTTCTACAAAAAAGCAGTATCACTAATATTTTTCTTCTACCAGAGAAAATCTGAATATAAGGGGCATATAATCTTATTCCATTTTATGTGTGTGTGGAAAAATAAATGAAGGTTCACTTTGCAGAATGATTTAGGAATCTGTTGTGAGGCATATAAAACACCCTGCATTTCATGTGAACCTGTGTAAGTGCAGTGGAAGAGTTGCTAAACATTGGTTGTATTTACATAGCGTTAGGCTCTGTCACCTTTGGAAAGGTCTTATCAGGAATGCTCCTTGACATGAGACAGGCTGTGTGTTTGTTTCTTTCATTGAGAGCTCTTGTATGTACTTTGACTATGAGGTTTCCCTATAATGATAATTAAGAGTTAATAAAAACCCAATATTGGTAAAATGTAAATACCCCCTTTCATAAAACTTTCAGCTCTGTAGTTTTATTAAGTGATGGCTCCGTGCTGAGGGCCTTTGACCTGTCTTGCTTCTGACCCTTTCTGACCTGGGTCCCTATGGAGAATTAGTCATCACTGAACGTTCCAACCCTGGTCAGTTGGGTGGACTTGTGGTGAGGTCCTTAGTGGTTTTGTTTGTGCAGATTAACTGACGGGACCTGTAGTAGCTGGAATTTACCTAGAGGGAGCATTGGAGTAGCTTTGGAACTTTCCGTTGACTAAGCTGTCTGACAAAGGCCAAAGCACATAGATGGTAGTAGACAGGCAAATCTCAAAGCACACGTTACAGTTCAAAGTGTGACTCAAGAGTCAACTGCCGGCAGGGCGAGGTGGCTCACGCCTGTAATGCTAGTACTCTGGGAGGCCGAGGTGGGAGGATTGCTCAAGGTCAGGAGTTTGAAACCAGCCTGAGCAAGAGTAAGACCCCATCTCGATTATAACTAGAAAGAAATTAATTGGCCAACCATATAAACAATTAGCTGGGCATGGTGGTGCATGCCTGTAGTCCCAGCTACTTTGGAGGCTAAGGCAGGAGGATTACTTGAGCCCAAGGAGTTTGAGGTTGCTGTGAGCTAGGCTGACGCCACAACACTCTAGCCAGGGCAACAGAGTTGAGACTCTGTCTCAAAGGAAATAAAAAAATAAAGAGCCAACTGCCTAGGTTCAGTCCTGGTACTAGTGACTAATAGCAATAGCTGGTTATAGTTATATTAATTTTCATGTGCTAGTTACTTCATTTTTCTTCGCCTCAGTTTTCTTATCTGTAAAATGGACTTCCCATTCATACCTTCCGCATTGGACTATTTTAAGAATTAAGCCGGTTAACACATCCCCAGTGCTTGAAATAGTGCTCTGCCACATGGTCAGTGCCTAATGAATGCTGGCCACAGTGTTGCCATGGTATCTCTGAACCTGCGCTTCCTCACCTGCAGGATGGAAGCAACAACTCCTGCCCCTTCTGTTTTGCATGATTATTGTGAAGATTAAACAAGACCATTCTGGAAAGCGTGTTGTGGAAATTTATGCAACACATATTGTTTAGTCCAGACACTGTGCAAGGAATTGTGAACTGCAGAGGCCACACAAATACATGTTTTGATTATAGCTGTAGTTAGAAAGTGATTGGAGGTAGTCTGTACTATTAGGCCCATAAAGTTGCTCCGCTTTGGCAGTTAATTTGAAAACTACAGTCATAAAGTTTAGAGCATTAAGTGGGACTGCATTTTTGTTATCATGGGCCTCTGAACGCTCGTGACTACAGTTAACCAGCGTCTTCGTGGTCAAGACCTGTAGGCTTGTCCTCATGCTGATTTATTTATTATTCAGGGATTTGGGACCCAGTTGCTAATCTTATAGCAGCACACTAGCATTTATCTTGCCACCCCTCCTAGATCTATTAGCAGGATTTTTATCCCTTCAACAAAATAGAAGCCCAAATAAGTACTCCAAAGAGAGGCCTAGTTTAGAGGTCATGAATTATTAACTTTCTTAGTGGTAGATTTAGGAAAAAAAATGACATTATAACAATAAATTTAAAAAATTTTTAATGGTAGATTTAAAATTTTTCATTTGGATAAAATTTTTGCACTAGTTACAGTGGTAAAAGAGACATCAAAGCTGTAAATTATGCCTCATAATTTAGACCATGGATTGTATGTACATTAATGGGTGTGTAATATATTAAAAAAATTCCGTTCTAGGGCAGCGAGGAATAGGCATGCTGTTGAATATACTATATGTTAAATGTATTTAAGTGCCCTTCCTAATGTCATCGCCTTCCTTCACCCCCGAATTTCATAGTGTGTTGTCTGAGCAGCATAGAGACCAGGAAGCTTGTCTTTTTTCTTCTGAATACTTACCCAGAGCAAGCTCTCATGGGAGCCTCATGGGTCAGTAAGAGTTTTCTATGAGCTCACCATCCTCACAACCTCCCAGATTTTAGAAAAGCAAAGGAACAACAACGGGGACCTTTGCCAGCGAGCAGTTTCCAGTGAGCTGGACTTGGAATGGCGACGGGTACAGAAACTCCAGGGCATGCACACAGAGGTCTGTCCAGACTTCCTTTCCATTCCCATCTCCAGTCCTACCTGTACCAGAATATTCTCAGCACCCCTGGTCCAGGTTATAGAAAGATCTTCCCCATGGCTGTCCCCAGCCCCGATGAGCTATCTCTCTAATCATACTTCCTCCCAGATGCTCATCCTTGTTGTTAATCGTGGTAAACCTTCGTACTAACTCAGAGAACCATGGTCCCCACTTGCTGCCCCGCTGTAGTCTCAGGTTCACTTATTTGGATTTAAGGAGATGAGCCGGTCGGGTGCGGTGGCTCACGCCTGTAATCCTAGCTCTCTAGGAGGCCGAGGCGGGTGGATTGCTTGAGGTCAGGAGTTCGAAACCAGCCTGAGCAAGAGCGAGACCCCGTCTCTACTATAAATAGAAAGAAATTAATTGGCCAACTAATATATATAGGAAAAATTAGCCGGGCATGGTGGTGCATGCCTGTAGTCCCAGCTACTCGGGAGGCTGAGGCAGCAGGATTGCTTGAGCCCAGGAGTTTAGGGTTGCTGTGAGCTAGGCTGATGCCAGGGCACTCATTCTAGACTGGGCAACAAAGCAAGACTCTGTCTCAAAAAAAAGGAGAAGAGCCAGTTAAACCTGTCAGTAGTGAAATTTCTCTGGCGACACTTTAGCCATTTCACATGGCTGATTTCTAGGGACATCATGTGTCCCCAAGGGGCAAGATTTTTTTTTTATTGTTATTTATTATTTTATTTCAGCATATTATGGGAGTACAAATCAAGGGGCAAGGTTTTAAGTTAATCTCTATTTTGAGGCCACGTGTGGTTGTGTGAAATTTATCTTAGTTCATTTATGTAATTCGATATGTTATTGTCTACTGGCTTTTCGTTAACTTGATAAATCTTAAGCTATTTGGGTAAAATTCAAACCAAACCAGTGAGTAGCTTTAAAATGACAGGGCGTGATTTTATTTTCTCCTCTTTCCTTCTTTTTACCCTCCTTCTTCTCATCCATGTCTATGTTGTTCTCTCCTCCTTCTATGCATTTGGTAATGGTATTGAGTGTGTCTGTTACTGGGCCTCACTTCTCATCTGCCCCTATTCCTCCTGCACATCTTGGTCATGACAGGAGTTGAGTAGAGCATGGTGCATTTACAGATATGTCCTGATGTCATTTGCTGCATCTGTCTTTTCCTAGTCACAGTTTTTCTGACTTAGCCCTGTGTGACTTCTGTCGGATTCTTGATGAACAGGTAATACAAATCCCAGGTCAGCAGTAAGTCATTCAGAAACTAAGAGAGAATTTCTATTTTAAATGTAGATCCTGTTTTCCTTGCATGGACAGAATCCATTTTACTTCTGTTATCCGGCACAAGGGGGCAGCATGATCTGCAGTATTTCAGGGATATACCATTAGAGCACCTTGTAAAAACCTGGTTTTTATTTTAAAGCTTTCTTGGAAATTCCATTTTTATAGCTTGGGTCTTTGTATTTTGACATGTCTTAATATGAAATTGTAAAAGCATTTTCATGGTTTATTATGTTTGAAACATAAACGTCTTTTTTTAAAGAAATATTCCCAATGTTGTCCTAGAATACTTAGCATTTCAAACAAAGTTATTTAGATTTTCCAATTAGTACCTTCTCGACTAATAAATAGAATACGTAGACGCTGACATCTTGGCTTGGTATATTTTAATTTTGAAGGTTTGATTATGGTGGCTTGTATGATCTGTTTCTGTTTTCTTCTAAAATGTGATTTTAGGGAAAAAGATGACCACACAGTTTGTTCAGTTTCCTTCTATGCCATTAGAGTGAACAGAGACATTTTATTCTTGTCAAGTTTCTACAATTTCACCCTTTGTTTTGGAGAGAAGATGAGTGGTTGGTTGTCTGTTTTCTCGTAACACATGGCTGAGTACATTGACTCCAAGGGATTCTGGATAGATATTTATTTGTTTTCGATTTGTTAATTTGGCTTTCAGAAACTGAGCCACTTTTGCCAGTAGATGCATTTGTTTATTCTCTCAGGAAAGTACAAAGTCGGTGTTGGGTTATGGCCAGTATGTTCATTTCACACAACTGATTTTTCTGCTCTCTTTGTGCCCATTTGTGTGTGTATCCTCATTTATGCATCATGCAGTATTATAAAAGTACAAATTTATATAATTTTATGGGTTAAGTTCCATCAGAGCTAAAAAAAAACTAGGAAAAAGAAAAACTTAACTTCCATTGTTGCTTTTATTCTTCTGGTGGAACGTAGGTATGGTCATTGAGGTAGGGAACACGAACTGTGGCGCGCTAGATTTTAAGACAGACATTCTCAAATTCTCCCTAATCAAAAATCTAGAGTTGCTGCGGTGATTAAGATTCCCAGCTTGATTGAGTGGGAAATTAGGCCCTGTAGATG